ACTATAAATCTTTATACAGTAATATATAAAGTCAAAGTAAAAGTCAAAGTTAAAGTAACAAATAATAAATATAGTCATTTATACATTATATTATATTATTTATTATTTAATTATTGCATGAATTTTTTAAAAACTTGGGTCATTGCCAGCATTACAGTCGCACACATTTTATCCTGATACTATTGTGTAACAAACATAAAGTAGTCAATGAAATCTTTCACTAATTACTTCATAAATTACTATATATAAAATAAATAAACAAATAAAAGTATTAACACAAATTTGATTATGTCAATAAACTAAAATTATTTACAGATTTGTTTCGTTATTTATGTGATGTCATAATTGTAAGTATTTGATATTTTAACAGATAATAATATAACAAATTGCATAAATTTCACACATTATCCAATCCATATTTAAACAAATCTCAAATAAATTATTCAAAAATATTTCAGCATTTATTTGACAAGACTTTCGATGACTTCGGACACCCTATGAATGCTATGAGAGCTCAGCATTCGTTTCGAAGCGACGGCTAATCTCTCGTTCATATCCTTATCATTCAATAGACTGTCAATCGCTGTCAATAACTCCCGTTCCGTACACTCGTATGGGTTGAGTCTAATCCCAAACCCCTTTTCCTGCACTCTCTGCGCGTTGTCGTATTGATCGCCAAATAGGGGCATAACTATCATAGGCTTCCCGTAACTGAATGTCTCGGTCACGGAGTTATTGCCTCCGTGTGTGATAACCAGCGACACAATCGGCACGACTTTAGTTTGCGGGACCGACTTCTGGCCCCACATGTTGTCCGCCAACTCATAGCTATCCCCGAGGACTCCCTTCGAGACAATGAACTTGTGCTCCGATTTCGACAGAATTGCCACAAATCTCTTCATGAGATTCACGTCCACTGAACCCATGGATCCCATCGACAGGTAAATGAGTTTAGATTTCTGGGGGTCTCTGTCGAGGAATTTGTCGGGAATTGCGAACTCCTGTTCCCCGTTCCGCATAAACGCGTCGACTCTGAGCCACCGGTCCGGTAGGGGACGGACGTCCGTGTAGTCCAGTTCCTCGGGATAGCCGTAGATATTGAGGTGCGGGGATGTGAGTAGTGTTCCATCCATGGGAACGGTAGGGAGACCCTCGTCTGTCATCCATTTGTTGTAATGAACATTCATTTTTGAAAACTCTTTGTCAGACAGTTCTCGAAATGCTTTCCAATCACTTCGGTCTCCATTTGTTGCGAAACCTGTTATGAAATACACATAAAACTAAGCAATTGTTTATAGCAGAGGTGCGCAAATGGGATCTGTGGGGGTCAACTGCCCATATATAAGAGACAGTAAAAGTAAATCCAGTTTTTAGAACCTGTGTTTAAACAGTAAATTACTGATCGATCATATGAAAGCAAAATAAACAAGGGTTTCATTTAATATCTCATACAATAGACTAGTATATCATTATTATTTGGTTAATTTAAAGAGGTATAAACAATTCTCATTTGAAATAATAAACTAATATTTGAGTGCATACCTGAACCCCCGGGTGGTGTCTTATCATCTCTTAATACAAACAATGGATTCCCGGAAAACATGTAAACCCACGGCTTATTCGAGTGGATCAAAGTGGGCGAACCAATGAAGTCGTCGATCACATAGAGATCCGGATTATATTTGGCGACAATCGCTTGAAGTTTTGGCTCATTTGCGCGCATCTTATTCACTAAAATCTCCGCAAATTTCATGTTTTGACCGACTTTTAGCTTTTCCATCGGCGACGCCCCCGACAGGAAACCCGACTCGAGTAGCACTTTGGCCATCACTTCTCCGGGCAGTTTGTCCTTCTCTTCAGACGCCAGTATTTCCTCTGTAAAGCCATACGGAGATAACAGTCCCTCAAACGACTGGTCGGCCACGAAGACTATCCTATGGCCGCGACTCTGCAGCACTTGTGCCAAACCGATACACGCGTTCACGTGACCCACGCCCTCCATGGGTGCCACCAGTATTGTCAACCTTTTAGCCACCATTACGAATAAGTTGCTTGATTAGTTTTGGTTTTCAAACTCAACTCAATATTTCCTGTTATAATGATGAGTTTGGTCTAATGTGCACAATATTTATACCATTTAGTAGTTAACATGAGTGCATTCAGTATTAAAATATTTTTATAAATAAACTACAGTATCATAAACATCATTCAGTGTGTAAATTGAGTGTAGCAATGCGATTAAAACCACGTGAAACTGTGATAAAAATCTGTTATCTCTATGTTTATTATGAATTTGCACCAATGTATATTCAGTGCATGAGTTTATTTTGTGCTCACACAATTTAGTACTTTACGGACACATTGCTCTAAGAGTTTGTTTATATTAATGTTTTTTTATTCATTTTAAACATAAAACAATATACCTAGGACCTAGGTACAAACTACAGTAGAGTACAGTAATATACAGTACAGGTTAATTGTAACATAAATTCATAGACAAATTAGTCTGCACTAAATATATAATTATTAATTATTATAGTTAATATCAGTATTAATAATTATCCTATGTGACCAAGGTTCTTTTGTCAAAATTATTATCATAAATAATTAACCTCATTTAATAAAATAAGTAGTTAGTTATCATTATGTATTCATATTTAGTTTACATTATTTTCACATTAAACTTGAATACTCAGGTGGTTGACCGCAGTCATTATAACTAGGTGGGTTATCATTCAATTTAATTGTTTCACTATTTTCACCAGCACCATTATGAATGTCCCTGTGAACAAGCACATGATTTAATTCATTATTGTTAATCTGAATGATATTTTGTGGACATATATTTGAATGAATCCATTTGACACATACTATGCATGCTATACACAACACAACCACCACTGTTACACTGGCACCTGTTATAATCAACATAATTATAATGTCCAGACTATTCACGTTATTATTATAAGAATCTGTATGCGGACAATATTTACAATTGTGCTCGATCATTTGTTTGTCAAAACAATAGCACTCGCCATCACTTTTATAGCAATACTGTTTGTCCCGACATTTACTACACTCGACACTGGATTTACAGCCATTTGGTGTGCAATTAAATGTCCCAGGTATCCGCTCGTAATTAACCTTACAAAAACAATCGCCACCCTCACATTCAACTTCATCAGGGCCGTTTAGATCATCCACACAATCCGTATGATTTTTACAACTAGTACCAAGTGTATCTATCATACAAACATTATAATAACCAGGGTTAGGAACATATCCATATTTGCATGCACATTTACCACTCGATGGGTAACAAACTCTATTTTTATCATGGTAGTTACACTCTCGGTCTAATTTACACTTATTATAATTGCATGTTTTATTATGTGTGTCATATTCATAATTAGCCAGGCATTTACACCGACCATTATAACAAAATGCTTTTGGATAGACACTATTGGAGGACAGACACTCTGTATCAGAATCACACGTTTGATATTCTAATAATCGGCACATTTTATCATCCCTTTCCACATAACCTTTAGGGCATACACACCGACGTGTGTTTATATTACAAACCCTATTTGTATCATACATTTGACATTCAGTATTATTGTAACATTGAAAATATATACACGTTTTGTCGTATTTATTATATTTATAATTAGGCGGACATACGCAACCTTGGTTATAGCAGTACGGTTGTGAATCCAGATTAATACCCGGACCACAATTATAATCAGTTTGGCACTTGTTAAAACTAAATTGCCTACATACATAATGGGTGGTTGAGTCAGGGTAATCTAATAGCCAACATACACACCCACGTCGAGCTTGCCAACCAGGCTGATAGCAAACTCCGGTCTGTACCAGGTCACATTTATCACAATTATGCCAATATTCATTACCGGGAACACTATAATAATAAATGTCTGGTGTTTTGCATGCACCTTTATGGCAATACCCTATTGAATATACTTGCTCACCATATGATAATTGTTTTTCATGAATACAATGTAAATGTGATTTACAGTAGTTTGTCCGATATTGTGAACTTGATGAATTATGATAAGTTATGAGGTTTAAATTATTTGACACTACAGGTACTATAAGTACGAAATAAAAAGTTAATTTTAAAATAGAACGCATAATTGTGTTAATTTTGTAAATAAAACATATTATTGTATATTTGACAACAATTTATTTATCTATTGTCTTCATAGCAACTATAGATAAATACAATGTTTTGATTTATTAAATAAAAATGTAATTTATACTTGTGTGTATATATAAGTTATTATATGTGAAAACATATCGATATATATGGAAAGGGATGGATCGTATAAACTAATTACATTGTCTTAAATGAATAATTGAAATTAAATTAATTATTAAAATTTTTTTAATATTAAAATCATTTTTAGAAATATTATATAAATTAATAAATCTTTTATTATATTTTCAATAACTTTTATAACTTAATTAAATAAATAGTTTTTGGAAACATAGTAAAACATTTTTGAAAATATTCAAAACACAGCTTTCAAAACAAATTAATTTAAAGTTCAATGCTACCTACTAAGTTTATTATTTAATATGACAGAGATTGTTAGTAGGTAAGTTGTTATTAGTATGTGGCGTATAAATCAAATTATTTGTTAATGAATTGTATAACGTAATTTAAACAATATTTATTAATCTACTTAAGAAAATTTAATTTTTTAATATAACAATTTAGTATATTATAATTAACAAAATACTTCTTGTTTAATAAATTTTGTAAAAAATATAACTTAATATTTAAGGTTTAACGCTATATTGTTTTAACAATTTTGTGGACTTATCATTATTTGTACGAGATGGTTTAGGTCTTTCCTCATTATAAACAAGTAAACCATTTGTTTTTGGATTAATTACCATTCGATACATTTTATATTTCCGGTATAAATATACCTTGTATAATATCAGTAATATTACACCAATGACTAGTAATATTAACCAAGCATAATAATAACTACTGAAACCATGATGATTAGTATAATTATTAAATTTATCTGGACAAATATTACAATTAAGTTCAGCATAGAGCTGATTGTTCATGTAACATGGACATTCAGCAGTATTATTATAACAATATTCTTTATCACGACACTTACTATATTTGCCACTGTAAATGCAACATTGTGGTGTGCATGGTACTTTATCCTTGCACTTACAACTACCCCAATTACAGTTTACAGCATCCAATCCATAAAAGTCATCAATGTGATCATTAGCCATACAATCACGATGTTGCCTATAAATGCAACCAATTTCATCCCTAACTCTCATACAAATATTATTGTTATCAGGGTTAGCCGCGTAGTCTTGCCTACAAACACATTGTTTATTATGACAAATCCTATTTATATCAAATGTTTGACAATCGCCATCTGAATAACAATTAAATCTTGGTAAACGGCAACTTTTATTATATTTAGAGTAGGTATAAGTATCCGGGCATTTACACCACCTATTATCACAATAGGCTTGAGGGCCCACACTATTAAATCTTTGACAATCTTCATCTGATTCACACGTTTGATAGTCCTTTAGCCGACACATATAGCCATCCATTTCCTCATAGCTTTCACGACAAACACATTCATGTGTTTCTGTATTACAAACCCTATTCTCATCATAAGATTGGCACTCATTATCATTAATGCACTGAACATAATGACAACTCCTGTCGTATTTATTATATTTATAATTAGCCGGGCATTCACAACCATGGTTATAGCAAAATGCACCTGGTTCACTGTTTTCACTCGCTCGGCAATCATCATTGGTTAGACATTTGTTGAAATTGAATTTCCTACATACATAACCGGACTCATGAGACCAACATACACACCCATGGCGACCAGGCTTATATTTATAACTTAGTTCATTTTGTGCTAATTTACAATTATAGCAATTGTACCAGTACTCATTACCGGGGAAACTGTAATAATACAAATCTGGTGATTTGCATGCACCATTGTCGCAATAGCCGCTTGAAAATATGTAGTCATTTCTTAATGATTTAATTTCAAATACACAATCTGTATGTGATTTACAATTATTTGATGTATGATGAGAGCTAGGTGATTTTTTTCGTGATTTAATATTCATCAAATGACTCGTGATATAATAAGACACCAGAAATACAATAATATAAAAAAATAATAATTTAATAATAAATTTTATATTCATTTTTAACAAATGTAATATAATAATTGTTTATAAAGCATAAAGTGTACACCTTTATTATAATAAATGTTAAATGCATTTTGTCTAAATAATAAAGTAATTGTTATCTTATTTTGCTTTATCATTGGTGTTGCATGGTGCATTTATTCTACTATATTTTACTAGTAATACAATAAATATTTATGTTATCTAATCAGTAAAATATTAAGAGTTTTGAAATACAACGTTATATCAGTAATATACAGTACCTGTAATTACTAATTAGCACTAATTTCTATGTCAAAAATAAGCTATTTTAAATACTTTAACATGGCAATAAATGTAATTTGTATGAAAATCTTTTATAAGCAAAATTCATAATTAATACTATTAATAAATTTAATAAGATTTTGTCTATTATTATAAATTACAAACTTTAAAACATTAATTTTTAAAACCCAAATATATTTGATCACTAGTATAAGTTGTGATCTAAAAACACATTTTTGCTATTATGTCAAAACACATTTAATATAAGGTTCAATGCAATCATAAAACATCTCCAAATCATTATTAATACAAATCATCAATTTTTTTATAAATTTTTTATTTTCATATTAATATCAATTTAATTCAGTCACAAAAAAATGAATCAAATTATTTTGATTATAATCATTATTTTTTCTGCTTACTCTACAAATGCCATTAACACTGTTGGTTAGTACTACACTTTATATTATTGACCAGGTTGAATACAGTCTAATAAGTTATTTTTTATAGTCAGCAGGCAAAATTTCATAATATTTTCCAAAATCGATG